CCACCTACTTTATATTTTAACCTTAGGTACTCATTAAACTATGAGCCCTTTAATCATCTCTTGCAACTTCAACCTGTCACAGTGTCACTTACTAACATTCCCAAGATTTAGAATTGTTTGTCTATGCTTTGCTGCCAATAAACAATGGCATTCCCTTGATTTACTCTTGTATTAAATATGCTATACAGAGAGAGATATATATTACAAACCCAAGAAAGAAAACAATGAGATTTATTGGATTGGTAATTAGGATGCTCAACACTCTTTATTTTTTTTTTTTTTACAATTGCATTTGATAGTCTAAAAGTGTAACTTAAAAATTAAGTTCAATTGAAAAAAAATCAGACGTATAAAAACAGTTTGGTGAGCCTCATTTAATAAAGCGTGAGCAAAAAAGTGCTTTTGTGAGAACTGGATATTAAACATGCATGGTTGTGAAATTGGGACTTCATTTATTGATTTAGAGGAGGCAACCGAATTGAAAGAGAAAGTATTGCAGGTAAAAAGGAAGGGGCCATGCTTGGAAGTTGAAACTCTTTCCAGTTTCCACCATGAGTGTTGACTGTTGGCTGCTGTAGGCACTTGATGGAGTGTATGCTATGTTAGTTAATCTTTGAGAGACAACTCAAATTAATTATATATATTGTGGTCCAAAACTCTTGCTTTTTTGGCATACTTATTACAGGCAGATTATGAGGAAGGTCAATGGCCTAGGCTCAAGTTGCCAAGAGAGTGCAGACTGATCTTAATTTTTGGCATACTTATTATTTATTACTTTGAGAGACTCTCATGCTATGATTTATTTATTGTTTAAGTAGAAAACTAGAAATTATTGTATGTACTATGACTTTATATTTGCTTTATCTTAATTAATGGGAAACAAATCAATACCATTTAGATTGGATTGGACTAGTCCAATTTGGTCCAGGTTGGAAAGTCCAATAGTACAGTGGATTGGATATTTGGATTGAAGTTCTCTTAATCTTTTTTTATCCCTGTGACATGCTCTCTCTGTTGAGTTTGAGAATCCTGGTGATATTTCCAATTTTCTCATATGAGATTTTGTTTTAGTTTGAAAATGCATCAATTTATTTAGTGGGCCAAGCATTTACTTTTTACATGAAATTTGTATTGTAGTCTTGTTATGAGTGGTGGAGCTTACAAATCTTGATTCTCTTGTTAAAATTTTTATGCATATTATCTGAAATAAGGTGACAGAACTACATGAGCTGAAGTAATATAACAGATATGCTTCTGTGTGCCTTGTCTTAAATGTTTAAAGTTTTAGTTTTCTGTATGCAAAGTATTAGTTACTTTGCTACTGTCCCAAACAACCAGCACCACCGACATGCCTGAGAGGCTGAGAGTGGGTTTATGGGACCAGTCAAAAGGTTTTTGACTCCAAACACTGGATGGTGGGGGAGTTAATGTGCTACATCTTTGTCTCATGTATCATTAAAATGTTTTGTCTTCCATTTCTCATACATGGTAGTTGTTCACAATTTAATGTCTCTCCGAGCATAGCTTGATAACATTTATATTGGATCTCATGAGAAAAATTCTGATCAATATCCACCCCTTCTTCCCCTGTGATTGGTATTCGTGCTTCTAGTATGGTGCAAATTCCATTTCATTGCCTTCCAAAGTTCTGTACTGAATAACCATTAGGAATTTTGTTCTCAATATTGCCTTATAGACGACTCTACAAACAGTGAATTGTTTCTACCCTTTTCTGTTGAATCTAATTGAAGAAAAGTTAGTGAATCAACACCTTTTTTATTTTTCTGCTTTCTGGAGCAGCTAGATGCTACAATTTTATCATATTTAAGGGGCTGGACAATCATAGCCCAAAGGTGAAAACTTCTTACCTACTTCACTACCTGGGCCAAGTAAGAGAAAGCAAAAGACCATTTATCAAAACCGGATCAGAAGTCAAGTAAAATCAATCARAAAGCTCACTAGACCACACTCTTGTTTTAACCTTGAAAGCTACATTAATTTGTTCTGTAATGCATGTTTGACGGGTTGTCGAAGCCCTCAAAATTAATGTTAATCCCACAATAAAATTTTGGTAGTAATAGTGGTACTAGGTTGAATTCCACAGGGAGCTAGGGAATAATTTCTTAGCTGAATGCACAATATAATAGTGGGAAAATTAAATAATTAAAAATTCTAAAAGAACAATAGAGCAAATAGCAACGAACAAATAAGAGAAATCAGTCTTACCGAATTCTGATTCAAGGGTTCGGATTGATCAATTGGTCATCGATCATAGGTAGACTTCGGCAGTTTTGCAATTCAAACATTTAACCTTAGATTTATTAGAATAGCCATAATAAACCTTGTGTTTTCCTAAATCAACTGACCAAACCCAGCATTCGATCAACACTTATCACTAATCGACTGGGTATGATAGTGTTCTATATTAACTAGTGATAGCATTAAGCTTTGTGAAAACAATTAAACCAAAATAACAATAATTGAGATAGCTTCAATTATCGAATCTTGTCCCATTGATTCCCCTTAAGTTAAAACATGTCAATACATTGGTCAAAGACTGTCACGAACAATTGACCCATAAAGAAATTAACCTAATTGCTACTTGTACCACTATTCGTGACAATTACGGATCACTGAACCATGGATAGCAGTAGGAAAATCAACATTAATTAATTTGTCAGACTAATTAACATTAACATCCATTGAGAATATGCACAAGAATCAACGAATACTTGAATTAAAAAGCAAGAACTTGAATTAAATACAAAACCTCCCGATGACACAATCGAACCTCCCCTTGAACCAAAAAAGAAAAGGCTTAGCTGCTCATGATTTTCGAACCCTCCAGGCTTTGCTTCCCAGCAGGCCGAATTGATCTTCTTGAGTTGTTTGATGCTTGATTGTTAGATGATTGAGTTGATGCCTAGAGTTGGTCCGCCCCCCTCTTTATATAACTGAGGGAGATGGCTGTTTTCCAACTCCTTCTAGAAGATTAACCTTAGCTAGATAGCCTTGATCTGTTTTGAACTAATCTTATCATATCTCTTATCTAATGATTTAGTCCCAATCTTCTTATCTCTTTAGGATTACATTCAAAATTTTAGATCTGATAAGACTCTCTCTTAGGAGATTACATTCGAAATTGGGACTCTTGGTTCTTGAATTCGAGTTAGGCTGTTTTAAAAACTTGGGCTGCTACAAGGCTCTTCTGCGAGTTGGGCTTCAGCTGTGAAATGGGCCTGACTATGAACTTGCTTCGACTTCGGGCCCGGTTTCGTATTTGATGCGGACCGATCTTGTCAAAACCTTAGACATAAAAGTTGTGGGCCTTTCTTTCATCTTTCTGATGCCTCTAGAATTGTCCAATTTGGAGTCCGGAATTGAGAGTTATGCTTAGATTAATGACTGTTGCCGAAACTGTGCAAAATCATCCGAATTGCCCTGTTTTCTTCCAACTGTCTTCTTTCTTGCCCTGAATCGAAATACAAGAGTAATGAGTTCATTTAAGTGCTAAATAAATGTAAAAGAGTGAATATTAGGGGATAAAAATAGGGTACTTTTTAGTCTCATCAAATCCCCCCACACTTAAACTTTGCCCGTCCTCGAGTAAGGCAAAACTCAAGCAAAACAAAAGAAACTAATTCCCTACTGATTTTTAATCTCTCTTTTTCTCAACATAAAGCCTGATCCATTGCATGCTTCAGTCCAGACTTGGTAACCTTCCCCTTCCATCTCTTTCTCCCATTTTTCTCGTCCAAGAGTGATCGCAAATCACCATTCCTCATGGTCTCAAGTTAAATCGACAGTCAAGGAAACAAGTCTTCCACCGACTGAATTTTCTTGGACTGAACAAGTATCCATTGCTTTAACAAACCAATTCAGTCATATTCAATTATCTTTCTTTGTTTCTTAGGTCAAAACAAGGTGTGTTATTGCTATAAGCTTGTTAGGTATCACATCTCCACCACGTAGTATGAATTTCAAGGGTCTGAAGGTGAGAATGGGGTTGGGGTTCTAGGGTGAATGCATTTTATGCTCCATCTCACACTTGCTTTCGTTTCTAGATGTGAGTGCATTTTATACTCCATCTCACATTAGTCACGATTTTATTTTATTTATTTATTTATTTATTTATTTTTATTATATATATATTTTTTTGCGCAAGAACGAATCATAAGGCATCACCATCTGATCCATGAACTCATCGATCGTTGTCTCAACATGCCTAACACAGCAAGTTCTAGAATAATCAAACCATGTTTGACAGATATTTATGTGAAAATCAATTAGGCCCTTATGCGGACAATTTATATGCATCTTGCTTATTGATCGATTAAAATAATGAGGTACCATATGCAGCAAAAAAAAAAATTCAGTTAGTCATGTTTGCATCCTATCCTATCTATTCAGCCTAAGCACATGATTCCTAATAAGTCGAAATCATTCAATGATAAGTTTCCAGGGAGTAGAAATTTCAAAAGGCAAAGCCAATAAGTGATGATCGAAGCATGCTAGGGTTATCCCAAATTCCACCAGATTTCCCTAATCCCTCCACACTTAAGTTATACATTGTCCCCAATGTATGTGGTTATGCGTATAGTAGAAGGATTTGAGAGAACTTCCCTGTGCGCCTTGTTGGGTTCCTTCAGATATAAAATCAACTGCTAAACAGAAATCAAAACCAAACAAAATAATAAAATTAACTAAACACAATGGGTTGCCCCCCATAAGCACAATTGTTTAACGTCGTTATGCTCAACGTCCTCCTTTGTTTCTTTAACTCGATGAATAACTAGGAAGGTCCAACGAGATGTCTATCGTAGAGGAGACATTTGCATCTTCATGGAACAACTTCAATCGATGCCCATTCACCTTGAAAACCTTACATGTATTGAGACTTTTGATCTCTATTGCAACACAAGAAAACACATTAGTAACAACAAATGGATCCATCCACCTGGAACGCAACTTACCTGGCATGAGTTGGAGTCGAGAATTGTATAATAAAACCTTTTGTCCAATTATAAATTGTTTTCTTAAAAGTAGATTATCATGGAACAATTTGGTCTTCTCTTTGTAGATTTTCAAATTCTCATATGCTTCTAACCTTAACTCTTCCAGTTCTTGCAATTAGAGCTTTTTTGCCTTGCCAACTTCTTCCATGTTCATATTGCAGCGTTTGATTGCCCAATAGGCTCTATGTTCAATTTCGACCGGCAAGTGGCAAGATTTGCCAAAAATCAACCTGTAAGGGGACATCCCTATTGGTGTTTTGTATGCTGTTCGATATGGCCAAAGTGCATCAACTAGACGTAGGCTCCAATCCTTTCTTCCTGGATTCATCGCCTTCTCTAAAATGGACTTTACCTCTTTATTGGAAATTTCAGCTTGTCCATTAGTCTGGGGGTGATAAGCAATTGTGATTCGGTGATGCACCCCATACTTCCTTAGCAAGACTTCGATGGCTCTATTGCAAAAGTGGGTCCCTTAATCACTTATGATGGCTCGAGGAATGCCAAACCTACTGAAAATGTTAGATTTGATAAACCCTACAACACACTTAGAATCATCAGTCCTGATGGCCTTTGCTTCCACACATTTTGAGACATAATCGATTGCCAAAAGTATATAAGCAAAACCACAAGAGGGAGGAAAGGGTCCCATGAAATCAATACCCCAAACATCAAAGATTTCGCAGACAAGAATGGGGGTTTGGGGCATCTCATTCCTACGAGATAATGCACCTGCTTGCTGGCATCTTTCACAATTTTTACAAAACAAGTATGCATCTTTAAATAGGGTTGCCCAATATAACCCACTATCTAAAACCTTTCGAGCAGTTCTCTTTGGTCCAAAATGACCACTACAAGCATAATTATGACAAAATCTTAAAATCGACATATGCTCATTCTCAGGGACACGCCTCTTAATTATTTGATCAGAGTAGAATTTCCATAGATAGGGTTCATCCC